CGATATCACATCTACTATGTACGAAGCACAAAAGCAGACTGACAACTAGTGACAACCAAACAATGCCCCCTGTTGTATTCCCAGCCCTAACCGGTCTCTACACATTTTTTCTTTCATTCGCACCTACATAAATCGTCACTTGTCTCGCTCGCTTGGTGCGTCTTAACTTGAAGGACAATAGGCGCGGGACCGTTAGAACTGTTACCTGGAGCGTCCCAACTACTTTTTTTCCACGAAATGTAATACAAACCCTAGATTGTTATACCTCGTTAGATAGCTGATGAAACGTAGATATTTTAAAAAACATCTGCCGAACAATTACCATAATATTGTTTTCAGATATCCGTTAGAGAAAAATAATTTTCTAATATATTTTTTTATTTCTTTACTTTCACTTGTCTACTACGATCTATTCAATTAACTTATGAACTATTTTAATGACTGACGTCCTAAAGCATCTTATTACTCATGTAAAAATGCAAAAATAATAATAATAAGATACACAAAATAAACAAAAATAAATGTTGTAGCCTAAAAATCAGCAAATTTCAATAAAAAAAATAAAAGACGATTATCTCGAAAAGGGTTAAGTTTAGGGTAGGGTGTTTCATAGTGAAATATGTCAGAAATGATGGGTACTCCACGCCCTTAACGGATCTAGCACGACTTTTCTTGTAACCCTGTATACACAAAAAAAAAAAAAAAATATTAAACTGAAATTACAGCAATGTTATAGAAGGATGTAGAAAAAAACATATTAATGAAAAAATGTAATGGTAAATACAAATTATGTACAGTTTAATATACATACCAATAAAAAAGCGTAGGCGCATAAATACTGCTGCCTACAGCGGCCAATTTTGCGGTCTCTATTAACTTGTATTCGGGTTTTTGGGCGTTATCGACCTGAAATAATCAATAACCTAAATAAATATGGTCTCAGAGGAATCAGTTAGCACGATCGTTTCGAGATTTATCCATATATAGACATTAAACATATATTCATCAACAGCCTTCAATAGTCCACTGCTGGACACTGGACACATACTTAAATATTTCTAAATACGTAAATATTATAGATAAGTTTTACTCAGGCACAGAACAAATTATCGTGCTCATCACATAATTATTTTTCCGGGGTGGGAACCGAAGCCAAGGCCTCGGGCTTAGGAATAGGTGGCACTAATATAACTACTAGACCAACAGGCCCGTCTTCTTCAACTTTAACAGGCAATTCAACAGAACTTCAAGAGTCACATAAATGAATTAGTCTTCAAAAAAGTATCTAACACTAAAACGCTTAGGTCAAGAATATAAAAAAGGATAATTTTTATTAATGAGGTTGCAAAAATATACTGAATGTCATTAAAAATTAAATAAGAATTGTGGAATTAACCATCCGTGCACCCACTCCAACCCACGAGTACACAAAGCAAAATCAAAATCGATTCAGTATATACTACCTACATACGTACTGTTAGAGATGCCTTATGTAAGCATTCCTGCACACCCCACACTTCTACTCTGCACACTCAGCATTTCTCCATCAATAGCCGAACGACCCGTCCACTCATCACCAGTCTCATCCCGATATCCAAGCCAGACGGTTGTCTTAACCCTATTTAGTATTTTATTTCTTTTTAAAAAGACAAGTTCCCCGAGACTCGTAACATATTTGGTGGCAGCGTTAAGGGATTCGAAAAGAGTCCCCGGTACGTCTCTTAAAAAGTTCAAATTCGGCGCGAGTGTATTTGAGTGTAATTGCCGACTCCATAGTGTACAAAGTGTCAGTGCACCGAGTTCGAGCCCGACTCCTGGACGTCAGTGTTCGTGATAAAGCTTGTGAAAGGCCCATTGCTGTGCACCACCCGTGCTGCAGCCGGTCTTTGTCCAGAACCAGAAGGCTTACACCCATTGTCACGCCAAGTTAGTGCTGTGACCGGTGTAATATCTCCAACGACGCGACGACCTTCGGCTTATCAACGCCTACGCTTCGCCTGTGAATCTTCCAAGAAACCATGTCCGTTATTCTTATCGCGCTGTCCGCATTCCAGTAAGTGAAACCATACACTTGGTCATTGCTAACATCTTATTTAAAACTAATACATTATATTTGAGATTTTTAAATATCATTACTCTATTCTGTAACGTATTCCGTCACATACGTATATTGTTCAAATTATTGTTATTTCAACCTTATTGTGTATTTGTAATTGTTAAGATGACTGAGAGATCCCAAAGTCCAAAATTGGAAATTAACATTACTGATACCGAAGAGGAAGGCCAAGGCCTCTGCCCTCCCCCTCAAGGACCTTCTACTAGATCACAATCAAAAAAAATTAAAACTGTAACATCTAAATTAGAAATTGAGCTTTCCACGTTATTAAAATTCATAAAACCATACGATGGCTGCAGAGAAAAACTAAATTCCTTCTTAGTAAACTGCAATAACGCCTATGAACTAGCATCAGAATCACAAAAAGACATACTCTTTAAATACATTCTATGCCAACTACAGGGCAAGGCGGAAACCGCATGCTCCATCAAAGAATTTTCAAATTGGCAACAACTGAAAGAATTTCTAAAAACACAATTCAGTGAAAGAAAGCACTATGCCCATCTTTTAACAGATTTACAGGAGTGTAAACAACAAATAAATGAAAATGTAAGTCAATATGCTCTAAGGATCGAGACATGCCTGTCTCATCTGTTAACCGAAATATCTATTTCACACGGTCATAAAGGTCGAGAGATGATAGGACGCACGGCAGCCATGGAGGAATTAGCCCTCCATCATTTCCAAATGGGATTGACACCCCGTATCTTTAACATTGTCAGGGGTAAACCAATAAAAACTCTAAATGAAGCCATAAATATGGCCATTTCAGAAGAAAAAATACAACAGTCCCTATCCAGACAAGGTCCGAATTCGTTAAGCACTCAACAACCACGACAAGATAGGTCAAACGCTACAAAACTAAACACTCAATTTATTCGTCGTAACCAAAATCAACAACCCTCGACCTCAAACCAGTACAACGTAAAACCTAACTTTAATAACCCTAACAGATCTAATAATAACTACAACAATTCTTCTACTCAATTCTGTAGGTACTGTAAAACGCCAGGTCATACCTTAGAGCAATGTCGGAAAAGGGAGTTCAACAACAACCGTTTCAAGAATTTCGACCCGAATCAGCAAAGAACGCTACAACGCGTCAACTTCATTTCCGACGAATCCTCAGACAATAACGATGGATATTCGGCTAACCCCACAGAGGGTTATGATACCGTTGATGCCGATCCAAAAAACGAGTAATCGTCTCGTCCCGGTGCCGTGCGGGACGTCATAATTCAAAAAACGGTATCACAAGTCCAAAATCCTCTGTATCCGTGCAGCAACATCATGTTGATCTGCCAAAATCCTCTGTATCCGTGCAGCAACATCATGTTGATCTGCCAAAATCCTCTGTATCCGCGCAGCAACGTCATGTTGATCTGCCAAAATCCTCTGTATCCGTGCAGCAACATCATGTTGATCTGCCAAAATCCTCTGTATCCGCGCAGCAACGTCATGTTGATCTGCCAAAATCCTCTGTATCCGTGCAGCAACATCATGTTGATCTGCCAAAATCCTCTGTATCCGCGCAGCAACGTCATGTTGATCTGCCAAAATCCTATGTATCCGTGCAGCAACATCATGTTGATCTGCCAAAATCCTCTGTATCCGCGCAGCAACGTCATGTTGATCTGCCAAAATCCTCTGTATCCGCGCAGCAACGTCATGTTGATCTGCCAAAATCCACTGTATCCGCGCAACAACGTCATGTTGATCTGCCAAAATCCACTGTATCCGTGCAGCAACATCATGTTGGTCTGCCTAATTCCACTGTATCGATACAAAAACAAGGTAAACCGCCAAAACCTTCTAAATCAAATATTTTTGAAATTACAAATAACCCTGCAAAAACATTATTACCACACGTTCTAGTTAATTCCTCCGTATCAGACATCCCGCTATCCTTGTTAGTAGACTCAGGGTCATCTGTAAGTTTGATAAAACATTCATGCATAGAAAAGCACCCTAGACTTATCAAAGAAACGATTCAATTAAAAGGCATTGACTCGAAAGAAGAACCCATCAATACTCGAGGCCACTTCCGATTAAAATTACAGCTTTCTAAATCCACAATATCACATCCCTTCCACGTCATTGACGTAATACATTTACCTTATGATGGAATTATCGGCTCCGATATGCTGAATATGCATAACTGCAACATTAATTATAATAATAATCTGCTCCATCTGGGTAATTCATCCTTAAAATTACACTTTCATGATCCCGCTTACTTAATTCCTGCTAGAACCGAAACCATTATTGAGTGTTCTGTGTCTAATCCTGAGATAAAAGTAGGGGTAATCCTCGATCAGAAGTTTTCAGAGACTTTATTGATCGCCAATTGCATAGTACGCGTAAAAGAAAACAATCGAATTAACATATCCGTCGCTAACACTTCCGATAAACCCATCACATTAAATTCGAACCTAAACCTAAAACTTAATCCTATTGCACCTTCAGAATTCAAGGAACAACCAGCTAGTTCAATAAACCATATACGAGTTTCAACCAATAGCGTCGAGCGTACAGCAGAAGTATTAAAACAGCTACGCGTATCACATTTAAACGAAGAAGAAAAAACCGCTCTTCTGCAATTATGTTCCGACTTCTCTGACATATTCCATCTTCCAGGAGAAAATCTTACCCATACTAATGCCCTAAAACATGAAATTAAAACTACAACGGACATACCAATACACACTAAATCTTACAGATTCCCCGAAATACATAAAGCCGAAGTCCGTAGACAAATGGATAAAATGCTGGAACAGGAAATTATAGAACCCTCTGATTCCCCCTGGTCATCGCCAATATGGGTGGTCCCTAAAAAGCTTGACGCTTCTAATATCCAAAAATGGAGAGTAGTAATCGACTACCGTAAGCTTAATGACGTAACAATCGGTGATACTTATCCTATTCCCCAAATCACCGAGATCCTTGATCAACTTGGTAACAGTAAGTACTTCTCAACCCTAGATTTAGCATCCGGGTTCCATCAGATTGAATTAAATGAAGCCGACAAACCCAAAACCGCTTTCACTGTTCCTGAAGGACATTTCCAATTCTCAAGAATGCCATTCGGACTTAAAAACGCTCCTTCAACATTTCAGAGACTTATGAACTCCGTCCTATCAGGTCTCCAAGGAATCCGATGTTTTGTGTACTTAGATGACGTAGTCTGCTACGGGTTTGACCTAGAAACGAGTATCCGCAACCTAAAAGAGATTTTCCAAAGAATCCGAGATTTCAATCTCAAACTACAACCAGATAAATGCGAATTCCTTCGACGTGAAGTTGGTTATCTCGGGCACATCATTACCGAAAAGGGGGTTAAACCAAATCCCGATAAAATCAAAGCTGTAACCGCATTTCCAGTTCCAAAAACGCCTAAAGATATAAAATCATTTCTCGGTCTTGTTTCGTACTATCGTCGCTTTATTCCCAATTTCTCCAAGACCGCAAAAGCCCTTACTAACCTCTTAAAAAAGGATACACCATTCAAATGGGAAAACCAACAACAACTTGCTTTTGACACATTAAAACACAATCTGACAACCGCACCACTTCTTATCTACCCTGACTTTTCCCTACCTTTCATTCTTACCTGTGATGCATCCAACTATGCCGTCGGTGCCGTACTTTCGCAGGGACCTGTTGGTAGAGACCAACCCGTAGCTTATGCTTCGCGCACACTTAATAAAAGTGAATCAAATTATAGCACGACTGAAAAAGAGTTGTTGGCTATATTATACGGCTGTAAAACATTTCGTCCCTACCTCTATGG